ACCAAGTATATCCAAGGAAAAGTCAGAAGAGTATCCATAAGTTAATATCAGTACAATTTAAGTGACTATCTCTATGATAGAGTGTAGCTGAAACAATGTCCCATGGGTTTCCAATGTTTGTACAGACAGTCTAAAGTATTCAGTGCGATAATTAGCGTCATCTACTAAATTATTTAAATATGTACAAAAATAAATTGTGACATTAAAATAAAGTGGTTAGATTCGTGAGAAGTTTTTAAAATAAATAAATTTGTTAATTAAGGTATAAAGAAGACTTTTTAATGAAACTTGTCTACTGGTTATTATTATAAACGATTGATTTGTGAGAAAATAAGACTAATCATCAATATTGTCATTGACTATATGCTTTTTGTCTCCTTAGATATATTACATGTAAAAACATCGAAATATTGAATAATCTATCTTAAAAAGTAAGTTTTATATAAGAATTATTTAATTAAAATGTAAAATATTTTAATATAAATGACAGATGTTATCATATCTAATTAATTTAATATTATTCTGGTGTTTGTTGATATTTGTCAATGGAGCAGTTAAAAAATATGTCGATAAAGAAAATGTAAATATTATCTTTAAAAAAAAACACACTAATTAATTATAATTGTAAATAATTAAAGGTAACAATTTATGTGAACAAAGTTGGACCTTATGGAAATCCTCAGGAAACATATCATTATTATTCTCTTCCTGTTTGTCGTCCATCAATTGTAATTAACAAAGAAAAAAAAAAATCACGAAAATTAATTTTAAAAATAAACTATTTCTATAAAATAGATTGTTTCAAAAGATCTGACACTTGGTGAAGTTCTATCAGGTGATCGAATGGCTCGTTCACTATATCATATTCAATTTAATGGTATTTTATTTAAATTAAAAATAAAAAAAACAAATATAAATTGATTTATTATTTTCTTTTTTTTTTAGAAAATATAAGTAATAAAGAATTATGTTCATTAGTGTTAACATCTGATGGATTAAATAAATTAAAATTAGCTATTGAAGAATATTATTATTTTGAATTTGTTGTTGATGATATTCCAATTCGTGCTTTTCTTGGATTAATTGAAGAAACAAATTTATTTCCACATAAACATCATATTTATATATATACACATCATCATTTGGATTTTTTTATTAATGATCAACAAGTAAAAAAAAAATATTTATCGAGAAAAAAAACGGAATAATATTCATATATTTGATAAATTTAGATAATTTATGTAAATATAAGTACAAAAGAACATCCACCTGTATCTTTTGATGATGAAACAATTGTTTCTATTAAACTTGATTTTACTTATTCAGCTAAATGGCATCAAACGGAGTAAAACATATTTATTATTATTATTATTTATAAATAAATTATTTTATTTTTAAATTAAAGAACATTATATAAAGATCGAGCAAAATTTATAGCGAATACTGCTTTTTTTCCAAAAACGCTCGAAGTATGTTTTAGCTTTATTATTTTTTCTTTCTTTTTATAATAAAAATTTCACACTTTTTTAGATTCATTGGTTATCGGTTATCAATTCAATGATTCTCGTTTTTCTTCTCATCGCTTTTGTTGTTATTATTCTTGTAAGTTTTTTACATTTGTGTTTTTTTTTTTCAAAAATTCTATTCTAATTATTTATAATTGAACATATCTTTTGAGATAGTCTATGTATATTATATAAACAAACATTACTTTGTTAGTTTCAATTTTATTTTTACACACACACCCACACCCTTATTTTTTTATTGTCCTTCGATGCTTGAACTATCGTTTAACTCTAAGATATTATCTAATCGATATAACTTGAAAATGTCTATTGATGATAGACAATATTGAATCGTTTTATTTATAAAACGATAATATAATTTCGATAGTTCAACTGAAGAGCAAGTTTATTATCAATGAATATTTATCGATAGATTATATATTTTAGTTAAATGACAGTTCGAATATATTTCAGATTAATTTATTTAAATCCTATATCTATTCCCTATATATGTTTTAGCTTACTTCGAATAAAAAATGTCTCTTTATCAGTATTTAACAAAATTTTAAAAAAAACTAAGTGGAAATATGACCGAAGAATTTCTAGTAGAATACCTTCAAAAAACAATAATTGTTTAGTCATAAAACTACATTAGACATAAGCATGGAAATTTGTAGTTCAAGTATATGAACGATATTTATTTAGTGATAAATGTTGATAAGTATATCCGTCCTTATTTAAGGAATATTCCTAATATGATGCGTTCGCGACATCGACAAATTTCATTTGTCTGTTCTTCTTCTTTGTAATTGAAAAAGTCAGTTTCTATTAAATCTTCACTAGAGATCGAATTGAAATCAAAATATTAATAAAAATTTGACTTCAATACTGCTTATGAGTATATGAAGTGATTAGAATTATTTCCATTTATTCTGTTTAATATGAGTAAGATAATTTTTAAAATAGACTGAAAATTAAATTTAAATAAGAATCATAAAAATTCATTTCAAAAAAACTTCTCAATAGGAGGTCAATAAATAAAACTCACAAATCCTTTTTCTTATAAGTTTAATTTAAAAATAAAATAAAATAAATAAAAATTATAAGAATTTTTATAGTTGACAGACATTCTCTGACATTATATCATTTCAAAAGTGTTCATTCTTAAAACAATTTATTATGTTTATTTAACATGTTTACACTAAAAAAAAAGAGTTATTTGTAATGAAAGATAGATCTTCAATGTATTATATTCTTCGTTTCATCGGTTCAATGATCATATTATCGAAAGCATAATTTTTTCTCTTGACAAACTTTGTTGTACTCTATTGAATTTAAATAAATAGAATGCTTTCAAAGATTCTACAAAGTTCCACAATGATCTTACCAAGGCAGATATTTCCATTAGTAGGAAATTGTACCCAATATTTTTTGACCTCTCTGCCTGTGTCCATTGTTATGAAAACATACCGAATAATATAAGGTTTTACTCCGTTCAACGGCATTTACTAGGCTATTGAGTTAAACTTCAACTGAGAAAATATTCATAGAAAATTAAAATGAATTTAATAAAAATAAAATCTAATTTAGTCTCGTATATTAAAAAATGATTTAAATCGACTTGGTGGTGAAGATGATGATGATGATGATGATAGAGTTGGAGAAGAAAATGGTTGGAAAATCATTCATACAGATGTATTTCGTTTTCCTCAATATCGTGAATTATTTAGTTCAATTATTGGTGTTGGTTCACAATTTTTATCAATATTTATTGGAATACTTTTATTTGCTGTTTGTGGAATGTTTACTGTACATCGTCATGGTTCATTAATAGCATCAGCTATAATATTATATGCATTAACATCATGTATTGCAGGTTTTGTTAGTGGAAGAATATATCGACAATTACAAGGTGAACATTGGACATGGAATATAATATTAACAGCTAATCTATTTACTATTCCTTTTTTTATAATATGGTCAATTATAAATACATTTGCATGGGCACATGGAACAACACAAGCATTACCATATACAACTGTACTTATTCTTGCTTTTATGTGGCTTTTTGGTAACATTTATTTTAAAATAATATATTAATTAACTTTTTATTTTTATTTTTAGTTGGATTTCCATTAACAGTTTTAGGTGGAATATTTGGTAAAAATTGTTCATCAAATTTTGATGCACCATGTCGAACAAAAAATGTAGCACGTGAAATTCCTTCGGTTGCTTGGTATCGAACAAGTTTAATTCGAATGTTAATTGGTGGTTTTTTACCATTTTCAGCAATAAGTGTTGAATTATATTATATATTTTCAACATTTTGGGGTCGTGAACAATATATGTTATATGGAATTTTAACTATTGTTTTTATAATACTTTTATTAGTAACAGCATCAATATCTATAGCATTAACTTATTTTCAATTAACTTCAGAAGATTATCGATGGTGGTGGCAATCAATTATTAGTTCAGGGTAAATTTTCTTTGATTATTTTAATTTAATTCTATAAAATAAAATATTATCTTAGATCAACTGGTTTATTTGTATTTTTTTATGGAATATTTTTTTATTTCTATCGATCAAAAATGAGTGGAACATTACAAACATTACAATTTTTTGCTTATACTTTAATAAGTTGTTATGTTTTCTTTTTAATGCTTGGTACAGTTGGCTTTTTTTCTTCACTTAAATTTATTCGATATATTTATGTTAATATTAAAATGGATTGATTATATCAACGATTTTCTTTTTTTATTCATAGACAATCTTTTTTTTTTTTTTTTTTTTTTTTTTTTTTTTTATTATGTGTTATTTAACTTCAATAAATAAATAATAAGTGATCACAGTTTCTATGTTTTTTTTTTTTTAATTTTGTATTCGGAATTTTTCTTTTTTTTTATTATTTATTATTGTTTAGTTTTTGTTTTATTGAATCATTCATTTGAAAATAAATAATATATTAGCATAAAAATAATCAATTTCAAATATTCAAAAACATTCTTCTATATTTTTAATGTAAAGAAAAAAAAACAAAGATTATTTTATTTTTAAATTTCTGATTGTATGAATCAAGAATAAGTTCAAATTTCGATGAGTTGACTTTCGCCGCGGTAGTATAATGGTAGTACATCCGGTTGTGGTCCGGATAACGCAGGTTCGATTCCTGCCCGTGGCATGTCGATTTTTTTTCTTAGAATTGCACAGAATAGCAAAAAAAATCTTTTTCCTAAATCACCATCTTTATTATTCAATGACATATCTATGCACTATTGTAACATATTTATTTATTGAGAATAATTTCTCTTTGTTATAGTTAATGAAACTTTCATAGGTTATTTTAAATGAATATTTCTATTCATTCGAATATATCATCAAAAATAATCACTTTATTTAACGTTAAAATGAGAACTTTTTTAAATAAAAAAAAAAAAAAAATTAAGTTGGTGAATTAATATTTATTTAATTAAGATGGAAGCAAAAAAATATCCTTAAACGAATTTAAGTTGACAACATAAATTAGGTCGAAGTGGATCATAAAATGGATGAGTTTTAATAGTACATACTCGAGCCGAATAAAGACCAGTTGAACCGCCACAAGCAAAAGGTTTTCCTTGATTTGTAGGATGACATGCACATAGACTTCTATTATTTGAATAAAGTGGTCCCATATATTGACAACATTGACATTGACACATACGTGTATAGGTCAACATTGATGAGGATGATATTAATAATGTTAATATCAATATTTCAATGATCATTTTTCTATAACAATACATACATTTTTGTTTTGTTTACTTTTTATAAAATTTATTATATAAAAATTGACTATGAAAAATTTACCTGTAGATTATAGACAATGAACTTCTCGAAATAGTCGATAAGACTAAAAAAAAACGAAAGAAAAACCAATATTAACTAGAGAAAAATATCAAAAGGTCTTTTTCCTCTTCGAATATAGACAATATTTATATTGAAATGAATCTATCTCTTATAGTTTTACTTAATCAATGATTTTATTTTCTTAAATATAAAATCTTCAGAAATGTTTAAACAAATATAAATTTGATTTAATCTATTTGAAAATGTTCAATTGAATATTGAACAATGAAAAATAGAAATAGTTTTCGAAGACTTCTTTTATTTCAAATGATTGATATAAATTATAATAAAAATCTCGTATCTGACTGCAATGATATATGATCACTAGTAGCTGATATGAACGACCTTGGAAAGAAATATGTTCAAACAGATTATCGTTATTCATTTCTTTTTTTTTTTGTCAATAGTTTTATGAGAAATTTGAGCTAACATCAAATATAGATTTAATAATGAATATACGTTTATAGACATTCATATCGATTTTATTCTTAATATAATTAAATCTTCTCAACCGATTTATTCAATATATTTCGCTATTCGATTTTATCCTCGAATAACATCATTTTAGTTCATAGTTTTTCTTAATTATCTTATGTCTATTGATAAAATAATATTCTTATTATGAAAAAAATAATAAACAAATAGTATCATAGAATAAATCATTTATGTTAGTTATGTTTTGTTTTGTATGTTTGTTACTTAATATCATATCATTTTATATATTAATTGTCTTTCTAATACTCTTAAAAGATCTTTTATTTCAATAAATATGAAAGTTTTAACCATTTTATATATAACTGTCCTAGAAGAAAAAAACTGGTTTAATTATTTGATAGATGATATAATGTTATCTTCGCAAGTGAATATGAGCATGAACAATTTCTTCCTGTTAAATCTTCATGTATTGGATTATTCAGAGAAGCAAACATTCTATCAAATTTAAATTGCCTTGCATAATTCTTAGACCCTATCAAAATAGCTAAAAACAATCATTTCTATCGTTATATTTTGATTCAGAGACAATTATTTTAATTCATATTTCAAATTCATATTAATAATTTACTCTAAATATTCTCAATATGATAGTATTTTACTTGAAATAGATCTATTAAAACTAGAATATGCTATATCTTATAAACGAATTAATATACTCTATAATATGTAAAAATATTTTTGAAAAAATGAATTTTGCCGAAATCTTCATATATATCAATATAGAAAAGCAATAGTATGAAAACTAGATGAATATTTCTAATATTAATTATTGAAATTGGTATAGTCGATGAGTTAAATCTAGTAGATTTTATTGAATAAGTAATTGATCAATTGAAAAAATTCTCTTATAAGATGTTCATCTGTTATTCGTTTTTGTTAATGAAATATTTCAATAATATTCTATTATTTATCAGTATTGTTTTCCATTTTTTATAATTAAATATATGTTTATGAAGAAAAAAAAGGCAATTAAGATTCCTATTAAAATAAATGATATATATATATATATCATTTAAAATAAGAATTCAATCAACTGAAATTCTCATTAATGTTTTAACTCTTATTCTTTTCGAAGATCTATTTCATTCTTAAGAGAAAAATTATTGTAAGATTAGCTTTCGAATTATAGATTTTTATTGAAACTGAATCTATGTTTTTTATGATAAACTATATAAAACTACATATCCTTTTCTTTTTTCTTTGACATGTTAATGAATGAAAACTGGTTACTGCCATAACAGCCATAATGCAGATTTATATAGATTAAGTGAAAATTGTTTCTCTTCTCTTCGAAGATTACTATAGAATAGTTATATTTTTTTTATTCTGCCATTCATACCATTGATATCATTTTTTTTATCGAATTTTCTTAAACATGTATCTATTTTATGATAACTAATTAATGTCAGATTATTGTTTTCTAAATTTCACCACGATTTACATTATTTTGATGTATTTATTCTTCGAATAATAATGAAAAAGAAGATATTCAATATAAAAAAAAACAAGCTAATGCGACGCAAACGTCGCCGATCCTCTACTGAAAGGATATGATTCTGCAGAGATTGGAATATTTGAACAGGGAAATAAAGTAACTATTGTGTTGGTATACATACAGGGTAAGGACAATTTAAAAAACTTCTATCCTATTTTTGGATTTAGCGCATTTAACTGTATTGGGAAAAAAGTTTCGACTTTTCTAAAACTTTCATAGGGAAGAAATTTGTGAAGACTATCATATACAAGAATGATTAAAAAATGAGCCAAAATGCTGACCTGTACAAAGGCTTCTCTGGCCTGTGACACATTATATTCTTGGATCGAGTTCTTTCCTTCTCATTTAACATTGAACTTAGACAAATGATAGAGTCTTTTGTATATGAGGCGAAGTTTCTATTGCTTTTCTAAATTTAATGTTTCGTGAAAAAGGGTCAAAAAACATGAATCAAGAAACGTAAGGGCGTAGGTGTGGGTGGGTGGAGTGTGGGTATGTGGGTGTGGATGTGGATGTTACTCTCCTCTTCACTCACACCCACACCCTAAGAAAAGCAAAAAACATCGTGACGTATGTTGACAGAACGAAAGAAGCATGATGATAAACATTTTGAAGAAAAACCAACAATTTACCTGATAAAAAATGTTTACCTTATGAAAACGTCACACTTCATTGATTTTCATAATTATAAGTAAGTGAGAAAAAGTCAAGTAATTTTGCCAACGATAAACACGAAGAAAAATCGGCAACAAACACACACAGTAAACCTGTGTATTTTCGCATCACTTACTAGGTAGGTATATTTGATTTTCAGCATTATATGATTATATCCAATAAATAAAAGTTCGGGTTGAAATGTGATTTTTTCGCATTCATTTTTATTGCATGATAATGTGTTCTCTTGTTTTTTATATACTAGAAACTGATATAGGTTACTCATATATTTTACCATTATAATACTCTAGTGGTTCTCTAACTATACTCTATATCTTAGATTTTTATCCTTTTGTATATGTGCATATATGATTTCAAAATGTAAAGATTATCACGTATGATTACAAACTTGATTTTCATTTGTACACTAAACCTCCCCAGGACAAGTAATCCAGGTCCCGGATCCCGCCAGATCCTATCAGAAATCTGGCCTAATCCGATAAATTCCGACAGGATGGGGGTGGGTGTGGGGTGTGGCTGTGGGTGTGGGTGGGGTGTGGGTGTGGGGTGTGGGTGTGGGTGTGGGGTGTGGGTGTGGGTGGGTGTGGGTCTACTTTCCACCCACATCCACACCCACACCCCATATAGCATTTTCTAATGATCGATTATCTTTAGAAAAGAACTATTATCTTTTGAAGATTTTAAATATTGGGTATTTTGTCATTAGTATAATGAAACCAAAGGAGATATGTGAGTTCCACATTTCAGCCCCAAAGGGGCTGCGCTAACAAGCTTTTTCAATGTAACAAGCGTACTTTCATTTTATAGATATATTATTTTGTTTTTATACATATTATCTGAAAAAACTTCATGTTAACTATATGATAGTTATTGCTTTGTTTATCATTTTGTGAAGAAAGAAGGAAGTGTCAAGCTTGAAATTTGACTTCAACTGAGTTTTCAAATTGCAAGTTTGACATCTTATATGGAATAATGAGACCATAAAAAATTCTTTCATTTATTAACAAAATATTGCAACTTGATATTCTTTTTTTGACTTTAAAACTAGCTTTCCATCGATATATATACACACGACAACGATTACTTTTTCTTTGATATGCAAGAAAGGCTATGCATACGCTAAAGTCGAAAGAAATACAGAATACAACAGAAAATTGACTATGTTTGTTTTCTGTGATTATTTTCCAAATGATGAAATTTATTGAATTAAATAGAATCTATTGATTATGTAAGAGTACATATTTTTGTATTGACTGTAATGAGCGAGAAATCATGATGTTTCTTCGTCTAAATTCATTGATTTCACTCAAAAAAAGAAAAGTAACTATAAAAATATAATTTTTGTTTATTGAGATATTTAAAAAAAAAGAAAATTCAATTGTACTTAGTTAATAACTTCGTTGAATGAGTACAATATTACCAGGAAAAAACCTATTTACTGTCTTAAACATAGGAATATATGCAACATCATAATGCAAACTACTTTAACATTAGAATCCACGAGGAAATAACTAGAAAAATAACATTTTTATGATAGTATCTATGCTAGATATATATATACATATTCTTTTTATGTATGTCCAACTTCAGATATTCGATACGAAGTCTACAGAATCTTCTAGAAGAATTCATCTAAATTCGAATTTAATTATCTCATCTTGATGAAATATAATCTCTAAACTTTGGATGTATTTGATGTTATTAGCTTCTCACAATGGAGGTATGTGTATTGATGAGCGAAAAAGTGGCACATGTTCGCGTCAAATGAAAGCTCTCAACGCCAAACTAACAAGGTTAAAATATTAGCTGCTGTTGGCTTGCCTAGAGGGAGATATTTAACTTTTAAGTGTAGGTGTAAAAATGAATCAGGAAAGGTTTTCTTCACTATTATAAGGACAAAACATAGTTTTGTTCGGGGCGATTAGAGGGTTTGTAGGGACCCTCTTTCATATGGCCGGAACAACACTATGTTCTGTCCTTACAATAGTAGAGTGAATTTTTCCTGGTGGTCATGGAAACAGTATTTTCTATCAATCACTAGAAAAATTCACTCCGCTATTATAAGGACAAAACATAGTGTTGTTCGGGCCGATTATAAGTTTGTAGGACCCCTCTTTCATATGGCCCGAACAACACTATGTTTTGTCCTTATAATAGCAGAGTGAATTTTTCTAGTGATTGATAGAAAATACTGTTTCCATGACCACCAGGAAAAATTCACTCTACTATTGTAAGGACAGAACATAGTGTTGTTC